ACCGGATTTCGGTACCCAACCCTAGATGTACTGTAACTTTTCTTTCTTTTTACTGTAATTGATCTTTTTGCACTGTTACTAGGCTTTTCACTCCATGCTCAAATGTAGCCATCTAAATTTGATTTTCATGTATCAGATCATGTCTGATTTCCAGTGTCTTCCTTCAGGTCAAACACAAAATGTAGAACCATTCATGAGCTCTTGGTAAGGATACTGAGGACAAGCGATACCAGAGCTCCAGCTGAGAGCGCCACACGCACATGAGCCATCCAGTAGTCCAGTGCTGTCTCTGCTATACGGTACGTCAGAACACACTGCAGACACACAAACAGCAAGCCGGCAGGGAAAGCTACACCCGCTCCCACATAATGAAGCGTCTTGGCATGATCGACCTAAAGAAAAAAAAATACAAAAGGAATACAAGTTAATTTAGATTTATATAATGGGCTGAAGTTACAAGTCTATTTTTGCCTGCTCACCTGAAAGTTGCCAACCATGACCAAACCAAGGGCATTAATGCAGCCGGAGACCAAAGAACTTGTGTTGGTCCAGCAATGATGGCTGTGTTCAATCACTTGAGCATAACGCAGCATGCACACCATAACCACTGCAGGAGCATCACACACACACACACAAAATTACCGGCATACTCTGGGATAGATAGAAGTATTTTAATATTGACATAAATCACACACCTTTAAATGACAGATTAGGTAATCAACTTCTATGTGGAGTTAATATTGTATTTTAGCTTGTTTGGTTATTTATTACATTTCAAACTGTAATTCTTACCCATAAAGGCCCCAACATTGCCAATCAAACTGAAGAGACAGCTCTCTGGTGGATAGCAACCACATTTACTGTTGAAAGAGCAGAAAATCAGATATTGGGCAACCTTTTCTCAAGAAGTTGGTGCACAACAGTAATACTAAAAGGAGGCATCTTCAAAATGTGGTAATTTTGTGGCATTCCAGATAAATTCAAAGTAATTTTAACCTGATGAGGGGGATGTCTTGAAGAGTACAGCAGGTCTTTGGGAAACCCCTCTTAGCCGTTTCCTCTGTACATGTCAAATTGTATGACCTATGATACAAAGATTTAGCTTGTAAATGTATATCAATGATATTGTTACAACATTAAATAAAATGCATATAAATATCAGTTGTCACCCTATAGCTCCATGTGATACGTCTTAGTAAAATGATATTAAATACTTACGTTTATGATCAAAGCCCTGTTGTTTTTATTGTGGGCGTAAAGCTTATAATGCAATGCAACACAATGATGACTGAGAGATGGACAAATCCTCAACAGCCTAAAGTATAATATTTAATACTCACATTTTAACATGATTTATCTAAAAAATAATGTATGGATAATCAAGCAAACCTAAATTGCTTCAATCCAATAAGTGTTAATCCTGAAACATTACTAACAAACTAAAAGTTATTTTTGTGTTTACTTATATAAAAATCAGCAAATATTTCACAGTAAAAAGGCACACGTACCACAACCTGAAAGGGCAACGTATTTAGAATTACACTAAAAGGCCATTTACTTGTTAAAAAGGGTACAAACTATCAGTCCGACGACAGAAGGCATGTAGTGGATTGTGTACTACAGATTTTTCAGCAAAGTTTTGATCACATTGATAATTAAAAGGCCATAGAATTTGTGTATCAAATATGATATAGTAGGCTTTAAAGGGTTAACTCACCAGTTCTCAACAGGACAGACATGGTGGTTCATTACTGCCATGGCGTAACTACAGAACAAAATATGTTATGGTTATTTGTTAAGTACATGACTTGTCTGTATATAGTTAAACAAAAACAGCAGAGGGCTACACTAAATTTTATGTAAAACTTCTGGCTTGAACATAAACACTCACACAATCCATATCCCCGTGATGGAGAAAGCGGACAGGCTGACAGGCAGAACAATCCAGGCAGTCATTGGTCAGTCTGTGAGAGGCCTGAGACCCCAGCATGAGGGTGTGCAGGACTGGGGCTATGGAGACACGGTGTGAGACACCAGCAAGCGAAGCCATGCAGTGGGGGGGTGTGCGGACCAGTGGGGGAAACGTGATGCTCCTTCGACTACATCTGGAGACTCGCCGATTACCAACAACCAACAATATCTAGCGGAAATACAGAGACACTGTTCATAGACGTTTACTAGATACGAAGACACAAAGATGCAATATTACTGAAATACGGTTAGGGACAAACCGGCGACAGTGATGACACTCAACATATCATATTTTGTATGACTATTTAATCTTGAAAATATGTCATTCAGAATATTTCTTTAAAGTAGTATGCTTACCCTTACGTAACAAAAATATATGGGAATATACCGTAAAATATAATGCGAATTATGACATAATACATTTCCATATATGGGAAACTAGTGCTTATGTTTTTTTTATATACAGCAATATATGCATTGGCAATGTATGTCTATATAAAGATACATACAAATATATTTAGAAATGAAGACAAAAATACATCTAATATTCATAAAGTTTGATCCTTTATCGAGTATATATTGCACATACACGTTCCCATATAAATGTTTAAGTATGTACACACATACACATACATTCACGGAATGAGCTACAGCAGATTTCTAGTTCCCAGCATGCTTTGCTTCTGACTGTTAAAGGGATAGTTCACCCAAAAATAAAAATTCTGTCATTAATTACTCACCCTCATGTCGTTCCAAACCGTAAGACCTCCGTTTATCTTCGGAACACAAATTAAGATATTTTTGATGGAATCTGAGAGCTCTCTGACCGACAGCAAAAATATCTTAATTTGTGTTCCGAAGATGAACGAAGGTTTTACGAGTTTGAAACGACACGAGGGTGAGTAATTAATGACAGAATTTTCATATTTGGGTGAACTAACCCTTTAAAGGAGAGTAAAAATTTGTTTTTGCTCAATATCATTATATTATTGTATTATTGTATTATTTTGGAATGTAAAAGGGTTTCTGGTGTGTGTAAGTTTGTGGGGTTACCGTTGTGCTGAAGAGTAGAGCCTGTGGTTAGGATGACGATTGACCAAACACCATTAAGACTAGATCTTACTTTATTTAAAAAGTAATGGCTGTGCACTCTCCAGGACAGTGATAGTCTGTTCACTAAGTACTTTAGTATGAGCAGGTGTGCTTATGCTATTGTAAACTAGCTATATTTTAAAATATGAAACACATATATTGTAAATGATCATTAAACAAATATATATTTCCATATGTGTGTATATACTGCATGAGCAACTAAATGTTTAATATATTTATGCACATGCAGTACCATATCTTATCACATGCACATCTATATATTATAAAATGAATTACTGAATAAATTACATACATTATATATATATATATTATTTTTTTTATATATATAAGTAAATATACAGTTACATATTTTTCAATATATGAAACCGGCAATTACTTATGTATTAATTATTCAATATATTGTAATATATTTACACAATATATTACTTTGTATATTTTCTAATATACTATTAAATCACTTAATATATTGATCATTCATATATTAGGAAATATATTTTCTTTGCGTAAGGGGAAGGCTGTCATCAACGAAATATTTCAGTAAAAAGGACTTAACTCACTTCAAGTACAATGTAAATCCCACATAAACCTTTGCGTAAATGTGTACAGTATAAAGGCAAAACTTACTCAGTGATATTGACACATATTAAAGCTATATAATGCAATCAAATGACACTAACATTGTGGGATGAGCTCTTTTTTTAAGTAACACTGGCTTCATATATTGAATTCAACATTGTGATCCAGTCTTTTTCAATGTAAATACGTTTTAAAAAGGGTTTTGGTACATCTACCAATAGATGTCAGGTAGATTTGTAATCGGTTAATCTGAGGGATGAAAGATCCCATGAAGCACAAAATCAGATCAACAACCTGAGAGCCGCACGTACTAATAATAATGTCCCCTTCAGCACAGATCAGCCTCAATGTCACGGCAGCAAACACAGTACGACAAAACACTAAATAGTAATGAAAGGTTTTATAACAGTAAATAATCATGAAAGGTATTATGATTATTTTTTTAAGATGAAACTCAATATCGTGTAGCTTGCAAGCTATCCAGCAAATGCTATTGCAAGTAAACAACTTTTTAAGACGGTAAAGATCTCCTTATCTACGTATTTATCTACCTACATACGTGTTTCTACAGCGTTTGAACTACCGTGCATTAACGTGTCATTGTTGAAATATTGTGTTTTGATATATAAAAGCGTGATCCTACCGCAGGCCCCGCGGCTCCTGAGCAGATGCTGCTTCTGCTGCATCTCAAGCTGATGTAGAGACAGTTTTCATCAACAGAGGGCGCCCTTTTCTCCCTTTGCGTCTGCATGGGTTAAATGTAACATTGTGTATTTAGTTCTTAGCTATAATTTACAAAACAATGTCCTTCTGGTCATAGTTTTTTGGAAATTCAGCTTTGCATCACAGAAATAAATTATATTTTAAAGGATATTAAAATAGATTTTATATTGTAATAACATTTTGCAAGATTACTGTTTTTTTCTGTATTTTTGATCAAATAAATGCAGCCTTGATGAGCACAAGAGACTTCTTTAAAAACATTACAAGTCTGACTGATCCCAAACTTTTAAACGGCAATATATATAAGCGTTATTATAGTATATATAGTCTATATATACTACTATACTTATACTATATCTTTATCCTAGTCGTTGTATATTGTTATACTGAATGATACACTGTTTCTGTCTCATCTTTCACATCAACCTATGGTTAAAAATAAGTACGGTGGATGTTATTCATTTCTTCACTGAGTCTGTGTCTGACATTACACAATATAGGCCCTAAAATAAACTGTTTCTTGTGTATTAAAGAAGTTGCATTATATCTGATCGGCTTGTAGATGCAATAAACTACATAACCCATAAGGCCACATTCAAACCGGAAGTAAACTGTCAACCGACAAAAGTCACTCAAGCTTGTGCTGGGTTGTTTTGCTAAAGCACTATCCTTGCTAGCAGCCTCGGTCAACCAGAAATTAATTTTCGCATTTTTCGAGTGCTATCATTTTCAATGAACTCGTATCACATCACATAGGTTATAAATCGTAGGAAGTCAGACTGAGATATCTTGTCAATTTCCTAGCGATTCCCAGCATGACTTCTCGTCGGCCTGACAGCTTTGAGGGTTTGGGTTACAGGGGCAGAGAGGATCCATCATTCAGCGGGGGCTATTCGGGCAGTTCATTCAATAATTCATCCGGCACTGACCTCCAGCACTGGGTCACCACGCCTCCAGATATACCTGGCAGCAGAAACCTGCATTTTGGCGATCGCACACCCCAATTTGAGACGGCGCCTGCCCCACCTGGAGCAGCAGACGAAGCCCAATCAGCGGCTCCACCGTCCGGTAACACTGAGTACAGTTTATGATCAGTATGCTTGAAGTGGGATGTTATTACGGAAAGGAATATTATTCAAATAACCACAAGCAGTAGTATCTCACGACAATCATTCGTGTCATGAGCTTTATATTAGACAAGACCCGCCCCTGCAGTCATGCTTTTAGTAAATATGTGGTAAATGAGTGTGGCTCTTCCGCCCATCTCCAGCTAGTGATATTCGATTCGATAAAGAATCACTCTTTAAAATCATTTTAATGATTCAGTTGAACCGATTCGTTTCGGTTTTACCTGGAACAGCTAGTACGTTTGTAAATATTAAAACAATTAAGGTTTCAAAGACAAGTAGCATGGCATCCAACTAAAACACCAAAGCATTACCAAGACTTTCTATATAAAGTTTGGTATTACTTTGGGATTTTATATTTATTAGGCCTATATTTGATATGGGTATTATTATTTGGTTTGGGACTTGGGTATTACACAGCTGGATGTATATATTCTAATCAGAAATGTCATAACAGCAGTATTCTACCCAACGGAGATGGACAGTATTTTAATTACATGTATGTAAAATACGTATTTAATTACTGGTGAGTATTTTGTCATTTGTATTTTGCTGGACAAAAACATATCAAATGTAATTTGTAGTTAAATACTTTGAGAGATAGTATTTTCTATTTTAAATACTTAAAATACTAATCAAGTAGGTCATTTTATTCTCAGATAATACAATATCTTTCTTCACCTGTGTTATAGACTGGTGGAACTATGACGTCACTTTGTAGGCCAATCGGCTGTTAGCATCACACTGGTTCCCTTGACAAAAAGCCAATAGGATTTTTCCATTGGCTTTTGGATTATCGTAAAAAAAAAAAAAGCTCGGTGTTTAACCATAGTTTATGATGCTTACACTTTTTGTCCATCAAGATAATCTTCACAAAATAATATAATGAATTTTGAAGCCTAAAAACCAGCGCCAGAACTAAAAAGCTAAACTTAGGCTATAAACGAACTACACCACGCTCGCTCGCCTTCAACGTCACCACCACCATGCTCCCGACAACTTTTTCAAACTTATTTTTAGAAACATGTTCAGTGAAAAGGATTTACTCTGTGGATGAATTTTAATCCATATTACATGAACCTTTTCATATAAAAACTGGAATAAATACAAAACTAGAGCCAAACTAAAACTGAAATGAAACATTAATAATAAATAGCAAGTAGTGAATAAATGAAATAATCATAACTAAAGCACATATGAAAGCACGTATTTCTGTACATTTCAAAATAAGGTGCATTAAAAGTCAATAAATCCTTGATTAATATGAATATTTTAATTAAAAAACGTGTCTCCTCCACATAGCATTCAATAATATTCGAGTGCATTTAATCTATTAAATAACAGCAGATTGAGCAAGTTTTTGGATATCGGTGGTAAGATTACATTTATTTTAGTTAATAACGTACCACATTTCAGCTATCATTTTGTTAGGGTGGTTGGTTACACAAAATGTTATTTTATCCTTGCTTCTAGAAAATCCTCAATCTTTCTGCTTTCTAACAGCTTCATGTGGCCGGAAACTTTTAATTTTAACGTGGCTTTAAGCACTATGCATAATTAAAGTTTCACTTTCACCGTGACCACGTAAAGCTGGTTATTGTGGTGTTTACATGGAATAATCGTAATATGAGTTTACCTTGTGGTGCGAACCCAGAGTCTCCGCATCAGTAGGAAACAAGAGATAAAACAAGCATCTTCCATCCGAAGACTTGTGGTTGCATTTCGGGGCAAAGCAAAAAACATTGTTGAACAACAATATAAAATGTGGTAAACTATTAATTGGTTATTCTACAATTAATTGTACTAATTCAAAAGTCAGCCATACATTCATTTACACATTCTAAGTCCAGAACGGTGGGAAAGACATCATTAAAGTACTCCATGTGACTCCAGTAGTTTAACCTCAATTTTATGACGTGAGTGCTTTGTTGGTGCAAAAAACATAATTTACCACTTTATTTTCAAAAATATTATCCAAAAACATGTGACGTGGTATCTTCATTTGTGTTTGGAATATGAACGAAGGTCTTATGGGTTTGTAATGACATGAGGGTGAGTAATTAATGACAAAATTTCCATTTTTGGGTGAACTATCCCTTTAACTTGTCCATGGTTCCATCTTCCAACTGGAAAAAAAAACGATGAAATAAGCTGTTTTGGTGCTCAGTGCAAACTAGCTAAGTATGTACTAAAATATATACTATCAGATATTGCTCACTGCATGTTATTACAGAACAGAAGGAAAAGCTGTGCTGCTCTAGAACTTTGTTTACTTGCTGACAAGTGATGTTAGCTTGCTAGCTAAAGTTAGCTACTTGTTTCTATGGACAAAATGACATTTTGGGGCTTTATGAAAGAATTTTCAAGTATTAATCAATTTTAATTGCCAATGTGTGAACAGCATGTAACAAAACTTTTTTTTAAATGAGAGCCAGTAGACTAAATTTTATGCGAAGGACTCAGGGCGGTTTTGCTAGGAAAATCCAAGGGAAACTATCATAACGGTGTAATTTTAATGAACCTCATCTGTCGACATGATGTCGGTGAATCACATTGGTCGTCCTAGGCATGTGACGGTATCAAATTTTCATGTTGCGATTAATTGCTAATGCTTTTATCACGGTATACGGTATTATCACGATATTGAAATTTAGGTGCAAAAAAGTGTTTTCATAATAAAGTATAACAGGTTTAATAACTTTTTTCTTATGACAAAAAGTAACTGCAATACACAAAAAAATGTATGAAGTAAATAATTTCACACAGATTAAAGTGCAAAAGAATTATAAAGACCAATAGGTAACACCTTACAATAAGATCTCATTAGTTAACCTTAGTTAATGCACCAACATTAACAAAGAGCAATAGTTTCATTTGCTACAAAAGTTATTAAAGGTGGGGTAAGCGATTTCTGGTAGCCAATGTTGACATTTGAAATCACCAAAACAAACACGCCCTTACCCCAAAAGGGCCTTGCCCCTATTTTGATAATCCGACAGCTTATCAGAATTACCGGCCCGAGCCCGTCTTTTTTTCCCCATCTCCCAAAACAGCTTATACTACTGTTTCACCTATTAAAATAGTTCAGTTTTGTATGTAATAGCAAAGCGATTATATTTCCTCTATAGATATAAAACAGTTCAATCATATAACAATGTTTAAACGTTTAAATGTGCGCTATATCCAATAGTTTGTGTGGAGACGCTTTGCAGGACATGGAGGCACCAGCTTGCATTTTTTTCATTGGATACACCATCATTTTTGCTCATAAAGGTAAGAGTAATACATCATTCGTAGCTGTAAAGGATCGACTTTTATTTGTGTGCACTCACAATATCAACAAAACGTTGTGCTTTTTAATATAAATTATTTGTAATAGAGCAGACACTGTCTGACCGTGTCTACACCGGACGCGACAGTTCGCGCCCTGCTGCGCTAAAAGTCTGTCTACACTTGACGCGACAAAGCGACAGTTGCAAATCATTTGAACGTAGTGTCAGTACAGTTCGTCATAAATAGAATGAGGCATCAGTTTACTGATGGGGATCATGTCGCATCGCTTGGCGCCGCGCCACATCCAGTATAGACAACATCACTGGGTTCTATTGTGTTTTGTCGGATCGCGCCACTCGCGTCCGGTGTAGACATGGTGTGTTTTTTTATAATGGGTTATGTTATAGCCCTGCTTGTTTTTAATGTTTTTATGAAATATCTGTATTGACTGCATGATCATATCATCGTATTATTTACTGCCATGCGAGCCACAAAGTAAAGCTTGGCGAGCCGCGCAATGAGTAACACTGCTTTAAAGGATTAGTTAACTTCCAGAAAAAAAATTCCCATGTCATCCAAGATGTTCATGTCTTTCTTTCTTCAGTTGAAAAGAATTGCAAATTCCAAATTGCATTTTCAATGCAGCTTCAAAGGGCTCTACACGATCCCAGCCGAGGAATAAGCGTCTTATCTAGCGAAACGATCAGTCATTTTCTAAAAAAAATTAAAATGTATATACTTCTAAGCACAAGTGCTCGTCTTGCACTAGCTCCACGACGCGCATCTACGACTTCACGCATTACGTAATCACGTTGGAAAGGTCAGGCACGGTTAGCTCTTCGTCTGTGTACTGCGGTTCAGAAAGTTAGGGTAGGGCGAAAAACTCCATCTCATTTTCTCCAACTTCAAAATCGATCGAAATCGTTGTTTTACCTTATTTTGTTAAGGGCGTTTATAGGGCTGCACGATTAATCGAATTCGATTGTCATGTGTATCTTGTCAGTAAAGCCGGTTCTGTGATTAGTAGTAAATCTCCAGCACGTGCTTTCAGATGGAGCAGCATTTACTACACAGAGCTGTAGTTCACTGACAAGCTACACAAAATCGCGTTCATAATCGCAGACGATATAATTGCTCGATTATGAAATCGAAGAAATCGTTCTGCGATTATGAAAGTTGTTGCGTAGCTTGTCAGTGAACTACGGCTCTGTGTAGTAAATGCTGCTCCATCTGAAAGCACGTGAAAATACCACATTTAATAACATGTTTTTACTCCAAACTCACTTCATACCGTTAGTCAAGTGTTTGAAATAAATTTCCTGGGTTTCTTCTGCGAGGAGTATTTGGAGTTTCAGCGCGAGAGCGCCCTCTGGCCTTCGAATGGAGATTTACTGCTGATCACAGAACCGTGCTTCACTGAAAGATACGCCAATGTCAATCGCAGCTTCTGCCTAATTGCGATTTATCGCCTTTGTGATTTAATTTCGATTAATCGTGCAGACCTAGGCGTTTGACTTTCTTTGCACGTTCGCTTTGTAAACACTGGGTCGGTACTTCTGCCTACATCATGGGTGACCTTTCCAACGTGACTACGTAATGCGTGAAATCAAGTGCAAGATGAGCATTTGTGGTTAAAAAGTAAATAATTTTATTTTTTAAGAAAATAAC